GAGGGACGGGCAGCCAATTATATTTTCTTTCCCTCTGGAGTCCATTAATCACCTCAAGACAAAAGGCCTCCCTTTGCTTCAAGGAAACTTCTGTCTTGCTATCACACTTCATTAGATTAGTTCTTAATTAAGAAATATGTCCCAGAATTTCAATTTGAATTATCCGAATGCCCTGCGATTGTGTGAAGTAGCTTTGTGGTGACATGCACTGCAGGGAGGACACTAAGTGAAAACAGACTGTGGCCTTTTGTGGAAGTAATGAATTTAGCTTAATGATGATGGAATGGAAGCAAGAGCTTCTAGGCAAGAGCGTCTCATTGGGAAGTCACTTCAAAAAGCAAGAAGTAGGTGTGAAGTGTGTGGCACATGTCAGATTACAGGAATAAAGCGTTGAGATATACACACTTGACACTGTTTAAAAAAAAAAATTAAAAATTAAAAAAGGAACTGAGCAGCATCACAAATCACAGTCTCCGAAATTACAATTGCTCCCTTCTCGTCATCACATCAATATGTCTGGAGTCACAACAAAAATAAAGTATTCACAATGAACCTGGTGGGAGGAAAGTTTACTTCTTCCAACTATGCAAACTTCTCCAGTGACAAGCAAGAAACGAAGTGACATATTTCCCTGTGCTTGCGTGGGTTTTCTCTGGGTAGTCCGGCTTCTTCCTACATTCTAAAAAGATTCTTCTTCATTGAAGACTCCAGTGTAAATTGCCCATTGGTGCAAATTTGAGTCTTTTTTGGAATGTAGGAGGAAACCGGAGTACCCGGAGAAAACCCATGCGGGCCTGGGGAGAACATGCAAACTCCACACAGGGAGGCCGGAGCTGGAATTCAACCCGAGGTGAGGTCGACGCGCTAACCATTGGACCTCCAGGGCCGCCCAAAATGTAAACATTTTAGTTTTTTTTTTTATAATCAAGCAAAGTGTTCTGAGAGTAGTTGGTCAAAAAGGATATCATAAAAGCACTACAGGACCAAAGCTTATTGGGTGCAAACCCCATCATTAATTCAACACTGCTTCTGTCATCCAGTGTTTGTTAAAGTGCTCTCATTATGTCTCATTCTCAAACATCTTCACCAACACGTCTCTACAAATCGTGAGGAAAAATGTTTGAACTATTAAAGGGAGACGCGTTCACTGTGAAAGAACGCAACGTGTATATTTTGGGTCTAAAACAGCCGTTTAAATTGGAACAACTTTAAAATATGAATGATTGACATTTATGGCAACTAAGTGCTGAATAACGCTTTTGAGAAAAATAAAACCACCTCTATTCTATATTTTGTTGAGTTACCCCAAGTTAAAATTTTATTGCTGCCTTGAAATTTTGAGTTCCTTCAACTTTTTCCCCCTGTGTTCACGAGTACAACAATAGATATTGAAATATATTTTTTATGGACCGGCCCGGTGGCCGACTGGTTAGCACATCCTTGCTTCCTTGCTTCTCATGTTGCTTCGTTTTGTTTTTTTCCCCCCTCCACAATCACCCAGACTGGTTTGGCATTTCGAACATGCCGCAAATTAAGAGGGTAATGTGGACACTGACCTCTAAATCATGTTGTATTTTCTGCTTCGACATTCATCTACAGTTCAATTATGTCATCAAGCATTAGCACTACTTCTGCAGGAACATTTCCTTCATGAAATCCATATTCCAAATGAATGTCGTAAGGATTTATTGATCAAGCGCTTCACACTCCTGATGGGTGTAACCTTAGGGCGAAGGTCAGATTTAACATTTGTCAAAGGCTCTCAGACGTCTTGATTGGATTGACTTACTGCGGATGTTCCAAGACTTTTTGCCTGCAGTTCTAACATACGAGTAATAAGGCAGGGTGGCAGTTACATCAACCAACCAGAAAATGCTGAAGCTGTAAATGAGGTTACAAAATAATGGTGTTACCCTGATTGAATGGGGTGGACTCCGCCCCATGCCCCAGTCAGCTGAGAAAAACTGAATGAATGAAGGAATGAGTATTATGTTGTTTCTCTGCGAGTGATGAGTTGGCAAGTTGAACATGGGATACGTTTTGATATTTTCGAGATATGATCATAACCTTTATGAGCCATGCTCAAGCCATGTGCCGTCAGTATACATGGATTGGGTTTTAGAACAGTATGTGACCATATTTATAATTTCACGATTACCATTGGATAAAATAGCCCCAAAATGCGATGCAGGCTGGGAGTCCACACATTACTGTCCATCGCCATGCAAACACAACAAAAATTTATGTTGTAGCATAAAATTGTTATCATTAAAGCACAGTTGCAGTAAAATGTGAATTTCAATCTTTTTTATTTATTCCTGACTTTTTTTATGTTGATAGTGGTCAGTCAGTAAGTTCTAATAAAAAAAAAAGTGTGTTTGTATATTTATTTATTTATTTATTAGCTTTCATTGAACCCATTGCGCACCAAATCCAGCAGACACTTAAACAGCTTCTGCCACTGAAGAAAAGACACGAGGCAGAGCTGGAGGTAGCAGAGATGAAGATGTTCTCTTTGGGAGTGACCAGGTTGGATAGGATCAGGAATTAGGACATCAGAGGGACAACTCATGTTAGAGGTTTTGGAGAGAAAGTCAGAGAGGCCCGATTGAGATGGTTTGGACATATCCAATGAGTACCCATTGTTTATTTGAATTAAGTTGTTTTTTTGTTTGAGAACAGGTCTTCAGTTGTCCAGGTACTTGTGTATGACTGGAGCTAGGACATGTTGCTGGCCAATGACTGGTTCAGAGTATGTGAAAGTAGCATTTTGAAGGTTTAAGCCCTTCTCGCACAGCACTTGCTCAGTGTGAAAGGGTCGCGTGGGAGTGCGGAAAGGTGATGGCACCCCGTTTGCCAATGTGCTCATATTTGGAAGTTCTCAGCATACCAGGAAGTAAACGCAGAGAATTCTGCCACTGGTTTAGATGGGAGATAGACTGCACCTCGACAAGATGTATCTGTCACCGTTGCAAAACAAAACAAAAAAGCGCTGGCTTTGCTCATTTAAGAAGGAGGAGTTTATTCTCGTTAGTGATGGAGAGTTCCACCAACATGGGTTCGAGGCAATGTTCCCATAAAGCTGCACGGTTGAGCAATCGTGCACTGCTCTCAGCTTCTCAGAGAACACGGTGACACACATTACATTTCTACAATCATCATTTCCACCCCAGTTTAAACTACAAACAGGACAACACTCCCACTCCCATTACAGGTTCAGTAGCGCGACAGCAGGTGTTCACTCAGTTGTTCCACAATAGTTTGAAGAATATATTGACACACACACACACACACACACACACACACACTGGGCATAGTTTATGAGCCTCTTAAATGAGGCTTTTTCATGCATTTCAGAGTTAAGGTGACTAGAAATTTTTGTGTGTGTGTGTTTTTTTTTTATTACATATTTGCTATTACTGTATGAGTGGACAATGTGGGACAATGTTTATACAGACTGGATTGAGACTTAATTAATTATGCTACAATAAAAGTAACAACAATGGCTGATTTTATTAGTGTCAAAAATCTCTATTCAGTCAAATGTTCTATTTTGATATGCAGGTGGTTTGAATTTTTTTCATAACATACCTACGTCATGTAACTTTTTATTTAGACAGTTCCAAAGAGTGCTGAGGGGGTTCGTGTGAATGCTTAGACACATGAAAAATTAGAGGGAGCATTGCTTCCGGGTACATTTCAGAAAACTGCTCTCTGCTCAGTCACATTATTGTTTGTCATCTCTTGTATGTCCCAATGCTTGGGACACTGACACACCGTATTTAATAACGGTTTCTCAAGTGTCCTCATTCCATTACCTGGATATACGTAAGTCTGCCAAAATGGCATCAAATCACTCTGCCAGCCCATCTCCAAATAGAGGCGCTCGTCTGACGTCATGGCCATGTTGCTGTCAAATAGAACATTTTGTACATGGTCGTTTTTTTCAGCTGAAAACGTCTTGCTTTACATGGTCTTTCTTTTGGGGCTAAAAACGCCTGACTGAAACATGGTCTTTTTTTCCGGTAATAAACGCCTTACTATACATGGTCGTTTTTTTCGGTCAAAAACGCCTTACTGTACATGGTTGTTTTTTTCAGCTAAAAACGCCTTGCTATACATGGGTGATATTTTGGATAAAAAATGCCTTACGATACATGGTCTTTTTTCGGGGAAAAAACGCCTTACTATACATGGTCGTTTTTTTTTTTCTGAAAAAAAAGCCTTACTATACATGGTCGTTTTTTTCGGCTAGAAACACCGTACTATTCATGTTTGTTTTTTTCGGCTAAAAACGCCTTACTGTATATGGTCGTTTTTTGGGGGGCTAAAAACGCCTTACTATACATGGTCGTTTTTTCGGTCAAAAACGCCTTACTGTACATAGTCGTTTTTTTCAGCTAAAAACACCTTGCTATACATGGGTGATTTTTTTGGGATAAAAAAAACGCCTTACTATACATGGTCTTTTTTTTCGGGAAAAAAAAGACCTTACGATACATGGTCGTTTTTTTTCGGCTAGAAATGCCTTACTATTCATGGTCATTTTTTTTCTGCTAAAAACTCCTTACTATACATGGTCGTTTTTTTTGGCTAGAAACACCTTACTGTATGTGGTCGTTTTTTGGAGGCTAAAAACATGGTCGTTTTCGTTATGAAAAACGCCTTCCTATACATGGTCGTTTTTTGTTGTGAAAAACACCTTCGTATACTTAAAAAATAGTTTACAAAATAAATAAGCCTTCCTATTAATGCGCTCAATTAAAAAAAAAACTCTCTCAGAAAGGGACAATGTGAAATGTACATACCTGGCCTGGTAGTTGAATGGTTAGTGTGTCGATGTCCCAGTGCAGCGGTGCAGCGTTGGAATCCGGCTCTGCCCTTCCTTTGTTTTCTCAAAAACAAGCGTGGCCATCCATTCACAAAATGCTTTACCACATATGGTTGCCTTTTTTGGCTGTAAAAAAAATGCCTTACCAGATACAGGGTTGTCTTTTTTGGGCTAAAAACACCTTCCTATACATTGTCGTTTTTTTTCGGCTAAAAATGCCTCACTATACATGGTCTTTTATTTCGGCTGGAAACGCCTTAGAAGACATGGTCATTTTTTTTCGGCCAAAAACGCCTTACTATACATCGTCGTTTTTTGGGGGGCCAAAAACACCTCATTATACATGGTCGGTTTTTTTCGGCTAAAAACGCCTTACTATACATGGTCGATTTTTTTTTTTGTGAAAAACGCCTGACGATACATGGTCGTTTTTTTCGGCTAAAAACGCCTTACTATTCATTTTTGTTTTTTTCGGCTAAAAACGCCGATCAAGATTCCCACTCTTCCGCTTGCTTTTTATTTATGGACCTTTTAAGGACTTTTGAGGGCTAATTTAGCCTTTTTAAGGACTTTTTCTCCATTCAGCAGGGGATTCACGGTGGATTTAATGAACAGAAAGCCACACATCACTGAGCTGGTGCTCAAATCAATGCTGTGAAAGGAAGGGCACATTTTTATTATTAGGGGCAATCAGCTAACCCTTTATTTGACATACTGTATGTCAAATTGGCTCGAAATACCTGAAGTGATCACGTCATCGTCATCGGAACTGATCGGAGATGGCAGGAAAAGCAGAGCGGGAACCAGGAAGGCATATGCAGCCCAACACCATGGTTTAAGGGGAAGGGCGCCAGGCGCATTTTCCGACAAAATTATTAATTGGAAGGGTGGGGAAAGTGACATACACAAATAAAATGAACACCCCAGGTTAATTTTTAAGGATTTTTATTGATTTTAGAAGTTTTCCCTGAAAATTAAGGACAAAGAACATCATTTCACAATGGATTTTTATTAACTTTAAGGACCCGTGGGAACCCTGCCCGTGGGAACTCTGCCAGGTGTTCATTTCATTTCAAAAAAGACAACCCTGTATAGTAAGGCGTTTTTTACAGCCAAAAAAGGCAACCATGTAGAGGAAAGCATTTTGTCAATTGTTCCTTGGTGTGAGTGTGAGCGCGAAGAAGAGCATCAGAAAATGGATGGCCATGCTTGTTTTTGAGAACAGAAAGGAAGGGCAGAGCCAGATTCGAATGCTGCACCGCTGCACTGGGACGTAGACACAGTAACCATTCGACTACCAGGCCAGTTTTGTACATTTTACAATCTCCTTATATGAGAGAGGTTTTTTTTTTGTTTGTTTTTTTTAACGAGCCATTTAATAGGAAGGCTTTTTTTGTAAACTATTTTTTAAGTATACGAAGGTGTTTTTCACAACAAAAAACGACCATGTATAGGAAGACGTATTCACAACGAAAACAACCATGTACAGTAAGGCGTTTTTAGCCGAAACAAACGACCATGTACAGTAAGGCATTTTTCGCAGAAAAAAGTGACCATGAATAGTAAGGCGTTTCTAGACGAAAAAAAATGACCATGTATAATAAGGCATTTTTTTCAGAAAAAAAAGACCATTTATAGAAAGGCGTTTTAGCCGAAAAAAAAGAACATGTACAGCAATACGTTTTTGACCGAAAAAAATGACCATGTATATACTAAGGTGTTTTTTTCCCGAAAAAAAAAGACCATGTATAGTCAGGCGTTTTTATCCCCAAAAAAGACCATGTATAGTGAAGCATTTTTAGCCGAAAAAAAGACCATGAATAGTAAGACATTTTTAGCTGAAAAAAACAGCCATGTATAGAAAGGAGTTTTTAGCCGAAAAAAACCACGGCCATATATATTAAGGCGTTTTTTTTATCCAAAAAATGAACCATGTACAGCAAAGTGTTTTTAGCTAAAAAAAAAATGACCATGAAGAGTAAGGCGTTTTCAGCCGAAAAAACGACCATGTATAGTAAGGCGTTTCTAGCCCAAATAAAAAAAAAAAAAAAAAAAACAACCATGTATTTTTTTTTCATTATAAAAACACATAGAAAAACACATTAAATGTTCTCGATCAGTCTCTCAGGTGGTTTCACCTTCCTTGAGGACTTTCCGACAGCTTGTCTTGGAATTTGAGGTGTTACAGTGGGCGGACTCTCAGCTGTGTTAGGTCCTTCAACAGTCTCAGTTCCTTGACTTGCTAAGGCTGGTTCTTTGAGAAGACCGTTCTACGGTTTCTCCGTAGAACGGTGTATGACCTTGGTTGGACCTGACACAGTACCATCCCTTTCTGTGACCATGCGCCTGTTTTGTCTTTGTACCTTACTGGGTCACCGGTGCGTAGTTCAGGTAGGTTCCGTGTTCCTCTGTCATGGTAGAACTTCTGTTTTTGTTTCTGTTGTTCTTTGATAATAAGGTGTTTTTTCCCTAAAAAAAAAGACCATGTATAGGAAGGCGTTTTTATCCCCAAAAAAGACCATGGAGAGTAAAGCGTTTTTAGCCCCAAAAAAGACCATGTAAAGTAAGGCATTTTTAGCTGAAAAAAAACGACCATGTATAGTTAGGCGTTTTTGGCAGAAAAAAATTACCATGAATAGTCAAGCGTTTCTAGACGAAAAAAACCGACCATGTATAGTAAGGCGTTTTTTTCCGAAAAAAACGACCATGTATAGTAAGGAGTTTTCAGCCGAAAAAAACGACAATGTATTGTAAGGCGTTTCTAGCCGAAAAACAAGACCATGTACAGAAAGCGTTTTTTTTGATGGAAAAAAACAACCATGTATAGTAAGGCGTTTTCAGCCGAAAAAAGACGACCATATATAGTAAGCCGTTTCTAGCCGAAAAAAACGACCATGTATATCGTAAGGTGTTTTTTTTCCCGAAAAAAAGACCATGTATAGTAAGGCGTTTTTTGACCGAAAAAAACGACCATGTATAGTAAGGCATTTTCAGCCGAAAAAACGAACAGGTAAAGTAAGGTGTTTCTCGCCTAAAAAAAACCGACCATGTATAGTCAGGCGTTTGTGTCCCCAAAAAAGACCATGTAGAGTGAAGCGTTTTTAGCCCAAAAAAAGACCATGTATAGTCAGACATTTTTAGCTGAAAAAAAACAACCATGTATACAAAGGCGTTTCTAGCCGAAAAAATACGACCATGTACAGTAAGGCGTTTTATTGACCGAAAAAAATGACCAGGTACAGTAAGGCGTTTCTAGCCGAAAAAAAAACGACCATGTATAGTAAGGCATTTTTAGCTGAAAAAAACAACCATGTATTGTAAGGCATTTTAACTGAAAAAAACAACCATGTGTAAGGAAGGAGTTTTTAGCCGAAAAAAACCCCCGACCATATATATTAAGGCGTTTTTTATTCAAAAAAATCAACCATGTATATATAGCAAAGCATTTTTAGCTGAAAAAAACGACCATGTGTCAAGTACGGTGTGTTTTTCCCGAAAAAAAAGACCATGTATAGTAAGGCGTTTTTTTCCGAAAAAAAGGCCATTTATAGAAGGCGTTTTTAGCCGAAAAAAGACCATGTACAGTAAGGCGTTTTTTTGACCGAAAAAAACGACCATGTTTAGTAAGGTGTTTTCAGCCGAAAAAAAAAACGTCCATGTATATACTAAGGTGTTTTTTTCCCGAAAAAAAAGACCATGTATACTGTAGTAAGGCGTTTTTATCCCCAAAAAAGACCATGTATAGTAAGGCGTTTTTTTGACCGAAAAAAACGACCATGTATCGGAAGGCATTTTCAGCCGAAAAAAACGACCATGTATCGGAAGGCATTTTCAGCCGAAAAAAACGACCATGTATAGTAAGGCGTTTTCAGCCGAAAAAACGACCAGGTATAGTCAGGCGTTTTTGGCCCAAAAAAAGACCATGTATATACTAAGGTGTTTTTATCGCCAAAAAAGACCATGTACAGTATAGTGAAGCATTTTTAGCCCAAAAAAAGACCATGTATAGTAAGACATTTTTAGCTGAAAAAAACAACCATGTATAGTTAGGTGTTTTTAGCCGAAAAAAACCCCGACCATAAATATTAAGGCGTTTTTTTTATCCAAAAAATAAACTATGTACAGCAAAGCATTTTTGGCAGAAAAAATTACAATGAATAGTAAGGCATTTCTGGCCGAAAAAAAACGACCATGTATGGTAAGGCGTTTTTTTTTCGGAAAAAAAAGACTATTTATAGTCAGGCGTTTTTAGCTGAAAAAAGAGACCATGTACAGAAGGCGTTTTTTTTTTACCGAAAAAAAACGACCATGTATAGTAAGGCGTTTTCAGATGAAAAAAACGACCATGTATCGTAAGGCGTTTTTTTCCGAAAAAAAGACCATTTATAGTAAGACGTTTTTAGCCGAAAAAAAAGACCATGTACAGTCAGGCGTTTCTTGCCGAAAAAATACGACCATGTATATAGTAAGGGTTTTTTTTCCCGAAAACAAAGACCATTTATAGTAAGGCGTTTTTAGCCGAAAAAAAAGACCATGTATCGTAAGGAGTTTTTAGCCGAAAAAACCCCCGACCATGTATACTAAGGCGTTTTTTTATCCAAAAAATCAACTATGTACAGCAAAGCGTTTTTGGCAGAAAAAATTACAATGAATAGTAAGGCGTTTCTAGCCGAAAAAAAACGACCATGTACAGTAAGGCCTTTTTTTCCGAAAAAAAAGACCATTTGTAGTAAGGCGTTTTTAGCCGAAAAAAGAGACCATGTTCAGAAGGCGTTTTTTTTTGACCGAAAAAAATGACCATGTATCGTAAGGCGTTTTCAGATGAAAAAAACGACCATGTATCGGAAAGCATTTTCAGCCGAAAAAACGACCATGTATAGTAAGGCGTTTCTAGCCGAAAAAAAACGACCATGTATATAGTAAGGTGTTTTTTTCCTGAAAAAAAAGACCATGTATAGTAAGCCGTTTTTTTTCCGAAGACAAAGACCATTTATAGTAAGGCGTTTTTAGCTGAAAAAAAAGACCATGTACAGTAAGGCGTTTTTTTGACCGAAAAAAACGACCATGTATCGTAAGGCATTTTCAGCCGAAAAAAACGACAATGTGTAGTTAGGCGTTTTCAGCCAAAAAAACGACCAGGTATAGTAAGGCGTTTCTAGCCGGAAAAAAAAACGACCATGTATATACTCAGGTGTTTTTTTTCCCGAAAAAAAAAAACATGTATAGTGAAGCATTTTTAGCCCAAAAAAAGACCATGTGTAGTGAAGCATTTTTAGCTGAAAAAAACAACCATGTATAGTAGGGAGTTTTTAGCCGAAAAAAACACCGACCATATATATTAAGGCGTTTTTTATCCAAAAAAATCAACCATGTCTATCAAAGCGTTTTTAGCTGAAAAAAAAGACCATGTACAGAA